GGACTAATTATTGGTGACAGTAGCAAAAAATGATTAAGAGCGAGGGGAATGGAGATACTCAAGCTCAAGTAACCAGCCCGTCTTGCAACCCATCCTGAAAAGTTGTCCCGCTTGTGAATCCTGAACATGAACACCAGAAGATGAAAATATAACATTAAGACCTTGTTCAACCAATTGACCAAAATAATTAAGATTCAAGGTCAAGTCAGGAATGTAGTATGTGTCGGGAAGATGCAAAGAAAGAAAAGAAACTAAACCAGTGTGAGTAAAATTCATATGAGTACCATTGGCAGTATGTATAGGAGGTAAAGAAGTTACGGAAGATGAGGAAGAAAAAACTATAGAGTGGAGGTCATGTGATTGCAACAACCAGAATCAAAATACCAATGAGGTTTAACTGCGGTAGCAGACATAGCAGAATTGGAATGGATAACTTGTTTAAGAATGACTTATATTTCTTGAAGACTGTAAGACGGGTGTTGAGGGTCATTAGTGACAGCCGCTGTAACAGAAGAAGTGGAAGTTAAAGAAGACCCACGAGACCATCGATATCGGGAAGATGAACTGCCTGAATGTTGCGATTGGTTGGACAGTGTGGAGCAATAGGCCCCTGAGCATTTAGGACACGTGGAAAAAGTGTGACCAGAGCTCTTGGAAATCCTACATGTTCTAAAGACTGGCGGCTGAGACTGATGTGACGGAGCGGAAGCAGAGATAGACACAACTAATGCAGACTTAAGTTGTGGTGTCTTGTCCAGTTGAAGATGAGTCTCCTCAAAAGTGATCTCTTGAATGGCAGCATCAAGAATATGCAGTGGATGACGATGTAAGAGAGAAGCACGAACAACCTCATACTCAGGACGAAGAACCATCAAAAGTTTGATAAGATCAAGATGATCTGAACTAATTTCAACCTGTCAAAGACGATTCTATATAGGTTGTATTTGTGTAAGAAACTCATTGACTAATTGACCATGCAATCCGAAATTGAGCAGCCAAAAAATCTCTAACCTCCTTGCGCATCATCAAAAGAAGCAAGTTGCACCTGAATAGCAGAAACTGAAGTGTTACATAACCAAGTAAGAATTTGAGGGTTCTTACTGTCTCAATCTACCAACTTATCGACGTATGCCGTAAGAGCCTGTAGGGTGGGATTGGTATCCCCAATACGAGACGGATGCACATGTGGCAATATATCACCGGTCACAATTCTCCACAATTTTCACCCAATTAAAAAACTTTCCATAGACTGTGTCCAAAGACTATAGTTGTCTTCTGATAAGACAACACTAATAGGAGAATGAATATCGAAACGATCCATATCCAAATACAAAGCAACATAATATCATGAAACGTATGAAATTAAAGGACGAATCGGATCACAAATCAGTCAAAATATTAGCACCGAGAGAAATTAAAAAGGTCACGAATACCAAATCTGATCACAATGTAGCCAATGATGATGGGAGTCAACAGCTGAAAGATGACGGCGAATGGAGGTGGGGGTGAAGCTCACGCGCGGCTAAAGCCATAGGTGTTGCGACAGAGAACAGGCGCGTGTAGCTCACACGCGCCGGCGAATGACCTGAAATTTTCGACGACAGCTCGACTTGAGAAGCTAGAGAGGATGGCGGGGGTGGTTAGTGTCGACGGTGGCTGGAGACGAGCGACAAAAATCTAAGCCTATGTTTGACCCTTTGACCTCAAACCTAGTATGATACCATGTGAGAATGTGGAAAAAATATGTGTTGTATATTTACAAAGACATCTACACATATATAGATACATAGATGGGCATTAACCTTAAGTTGGGCCTAAACCTAGCCTACAATACAAGAATACACTTTACATAACTAACACTAAGGATGCAAAAGCATAAGAAAAATATGCAAGCTTATAAAAAGAAGCATTAATTTCTTTGCCGCTTGTTGATGGTTGAATCCGATCAACGGTTAAAGTTGAGGTCGTGAGAAACAAGAGTTCACAGAAAAGGACAAAACACGGTTTGCTTGGTTTTTACTGAGTAACTTTAAGGTCGGCCTCTGTCGTCGAGGTCGGTATTCTTATTACACTCGGGATAATCACAGGATTTTATTACAGAATTCTAGAGAGAGAAAATAGAGAGAAGGTGGATTTAGTTGAGTTTCAACCCCCCACAAATAAATGAAATGGACTCCTATTTGTAGTATCCTTAAATGTGGTACTGTTTGAGCACTGTTCACCGGTCTTGTCGCACAGTATCCTGGCAGGCTCGTCTGACGCCCTTCTGACATTATTTAATGCGATTTGAGTTTTTTGCAATCATTACTTGTCAGGCATTAAATGCCAGCATGTTCGCATTTAATGCAGACAGGTCTCCTGGCAGGGCTAGTTTGGAGAAGGCTGCCAGGGGTATAGGTATCCGTCCAATCGGTTATCATTAGCTAGCAAGTGGTTGTATAATATTATTATCGTGCCCCCTGTTTGTTTTTGAGTGGGCCGGAGCTGAGGTTTCAAGTTGGCTTCTGAGCTTTTCCGGAACTTGTCATCTCTTGGTTTCCAGAATTCCCCTTTCAGGTCGTCCCTTTTGAGGTCGGCACCGGTCTGAGTGAATGACTTATGTGCCGACCTAGGGAATGGAAGCTTGTAGCAATAATAGTTGATTTAATTCAGGATTCAGGTCGGCATTTTCTCACTAGATCGGGTTACCGGCTCGGCTCCTAGGGCCATCCTTGTCCGGTCTCCTCTTAGGCTAACTCGGATGTCAACACCACTTTCGTTTCTGTTGCCTTAATTATGTATTCAGTTTATATCGTTAATTGTTGTTGATATACCGCACGTCTCCAAATTGAAGCTAGAAGAAGGTCCCCACAAATTGTATTTGCTGAATCTCTATTCCGTTGTTAATTCTCATTAATTTCTACCTCATATCCATTACCTTTATATCCTTCATTATGTCGTCATCCCACAACTCTAGTGATAATAACAATAGCAACAACCAAGAAAATCACCCCACCCATTAAGTAAATGTGAACCAACTTAAGAGCACTTTGTTATATAGGTTTTATGTCGATCTCATTTAGCTAATAAATTGTACTGACGAGGACATCACAAAACACTTCTGACCAGTTGACGCGAGGATAGATCGACATTTTGCGACGTTCATTAAATCGATATTGCATACCCATCAAGGGCGCATAGGCACCGCACATGTTCCAGAGCTACACCGACACTCCGCGTTCGTAACATAAATCCTGATGTCGACACCAACCATGTAAGGCTTTCTTCGTGTCGATCTCATCACCGACACGACTTCCTTCATTCATCTTCGAGTGTGAAAAGGGTTGTCATTCATGAATCGGATATATGTCTTGTCTCCAAAAAGACGTTTGCCCTTAAACATGTTACATGCAGCTGGCCGGTCAGACACAAGACACGTGTTCAATTAATCATTCAAGAGTCACGATAATTTTTACTGTTTACTTAGTACAAATTGTAACTATCTCCATGAGATTAAGGCATCGAAAAATCATCGAGACAATACCTAAAGATGTGAACGCATAATGAAATCGTGCATACTTATAAAAGCAAGCATTAATTTTGAAGAGATGATAATATTATGAGGAATGAGATGGAGACTGCAATAATACTTTGAAGGTCGTCTTGTTGCAACCCGTGGGCTAACTAGTGTTCTTGGGTATAAAATGGCCCATGAAATGACAGATTTTATAAATGGGGCCTAAAATTGAATTGGAATCTAATAATGAGCGCACGTGTGACTCACTCATCATCGTCATTTGGCGACACAAGTCAGAAATCTTCAACGTTTTCCTTTTCCTTTTGTTTTTCCAATTTCCGTTTTCTTTCTTCTGAAAATACAGTTCTAAGCCCAACTACAAAGCCTCCTCTGTCTCTGTTCATGTGCTTTTCTCATTATTATTAGTCATTTTGAAAAAAAAAAACTCGTTTCTTCTTTTGATTTCTCAAAATAATACAACATGTGGCCAAAAAAATTGACTTTTGTTTATTGTTGTTGTACATATAGTGGTGCTTGAAACATAATTAGTTTTAACAGTTAGTATTAGTTACCTAGCCCTACATTATATTTAAGAATTTATTTAGTACATGTGCAAAAAGTAATGATGATGTTTATAAAAAGAATAATAAAAGTTGTGGTAATCCTCGTCATGTGATCAAATAAATTGAAATTGGGATTGATCTATGTATCTGCTGGACCACGAATATTCAAATGGATTCGCTTGACACGTGGTCGGTCAAACAAAGAAAGTGCAATCAGTCAATGATGCAGCTCTACATATGGGCCAGATGTGTGCATCAACCTAATTTGATTTTATGATCCATTTACAAGCATTTTTGTGTGTTTTTTGTTATTTAACAAAAAGCTTGCCGTAATTATTACATTTATATCTTATTGTTTAGACAAAATATATTCAGAAAAGTTATGAAAAACATGACGTCAATTATGGTTGGACAAATTCTAACTCGATGTGAAAGCAAGGTGACGGCTGACAAATATCTATATTTGTAAAATAATCCTACTGGATCATAATAAAAGCCCATGATTGTACAAAGAATTGTTTTCATATAGCCCATTTGTAACAGGCCCTTGACTGATTTCCCCGAAGAAATTCCCAGCAATGGTTCAACTTGAGCCTTTGCTGTGCATCTATCGTATGTTTGGTAAGCACCTAAGTTAGATGAGAAATTTACACCCTGCACGTTCATATAATAATTATATTGCATATTTAATACTCATTAGTTTTTTTTTATTTAAATGCAACTTCAATACAAAATAATTACACATATACCTAATGTTTAATTTTCCAAAGTCAACATATCAAACATGGAATGTTTTTAATTAAGATCTTTTCTCCTTAATTTTTGCAACAAATCAGCTACAAATTAATCCTAAACAAAATAAGATTTTTCACAAAAGCACGATCCCTCCCAAACCACCTCTTCCCTTTCAGATATGTTCGGAGGAGGAGGAACCGGATCTTTCATTGGCCCGAGCTGCTATTTGCTGCTTCTTGTCGCTGGTGGCCGGTGACCGGAACAGGCGCGACGGCGAAGGTCGGATCGGACAGGATTGCTACTCGCTGGAAAAAGTTGAGCGGCTGAGGAGGATCGACGGAACTCGCTGCTCGCCACGGCTCCTTCTCGACTCCCGGCGTGGATTGATAATTCCCCGACGGAGGGTGACGTGACCTCAGGTGCGATGGCGGACGGAACCTGCTACACGGTCGACTGCTGCTGTCTCGTCGATGGAGGAAGATGAGGGACGGGATTTGCCACCCGCTGGGAAGAGTCACGCGTCAGTGGAGAAGGATGAAGACGATTGATGGAGAAGGACGCACGCGAAGAAGAAAGCTGCGAATGAACGAGAATATTTGGAGAAGGAAGAAGATTTGAGATGAGAGGCGTGTTTGGGATGAGAAGGAAGAAGATTGAATTAATCGGGTATATGTTATGTATATATAGGGTATATGTTCTGTATAATATAAGGGCTACCTTATTTGTATGTATGGTTTATATTGACAAAGCATAAACTGATGATTTTTTTTTTTGTATATGTATGGTTTATACTCGGTATATTTTCAGTATTTTTTCTCATGACATTAATAGGAAGACGTTCGATAGTATGTAAAAGTTAAAAATTTTCGGTATATTATCAATATCTTTTCGGTATATTTTCTCATGGCATTAACAGGAAGACGTTCGACGGTATATTATCAGTATATTCTCGGTATATTTTCTCATGACATTAACAGGAAGACGTTCGACGGGTATATATGTACAGTATATTTGCAGTATATTTGTTTGTATATAGAATATAAGTAACTGCTATAATATGTTTATATATACTTTTATGTCTAAAAGTAAAAAAAATAAAAAAAAAATAAAGAAGACATAATTTTTTGATGGACGACATGTTCTTCATTGTAACATATACTGAATATATACCAACATAAACGCAAAATATACCACCTAGCGGCTGCGTGAATTACAAATGTACAAACTGCGTGAATTAAGGAATTAAATGAGTCAGTTATTATTTTTCATTTCTCTCTCTTAATCAAGCCCACAAAAAGGGGGATGGAAGTTGAATGGATATGGTAACTTACTTTAGGCATTAATATAGTTATGTATTACATATTAGGTAGAGATGTAATTATTTGTTTATGAATTGTGTTTTTGCAATATTTTTAAAATCTTGTAGGATAGATGAAAATGTCCCTAGTTAGATTATAGCTTATTAATTAGTTATAAATTTTTTATATACAAATAAGTTTGGCTTAATAAGACGAACTTTTTAAAAAATTTGAACTTATCTTATAAGGTTTTTTAGGTAATTTTTCAAATAAATTCGTTGAATTTTTTTTTTCAACTAATTTCATTAAATACTTATAAGTTATTAGTTAACTTAAAAAAAAAATTCAAGTGGCTATGAGTTTGTCCTACTTTTGATTGATTTTCAAAAGATACGGAACTCGTATTTATAAACACGATTTCAATAAGAACAAAATTGAAATACTCATATAATTATGGGACTAATTTGATACTTTCCTATTGGATAAATCCTATTTTATTTTATCCAAACAATTCTCGTGCAATTACTAACTTTTCTAGTAACATGACATCTTGAAAGTTCTTTATGTAAATTGCCAAAATTGTACGAGTTCATTAAATCTCTCATACAAGCACCGCCAAAATTCACCATGAATCAGTATATTATGTATGAAACATAAGAACATTAACAAATTGAACTTTCAAGGGACCAGGCAGATAATATGCAGCTAAGCTATATGTTAAGATTAGTTTCTAATAAAATTAACTTATTCGTAATATGCAGCCGAATTGAACTTTCAAGGGACCAATTTTTCTTACACGTAAATCTTATGAAAATCCAACAGTAGGATTTTGATCAGTATTTAGAAAACTATAAATCAATAGTTAGCTTTTTTTTAGGCTACTAACCAAAACGTTAGATTTTCATAAGATTTACTTCGATCGAAAACTCGTCCTTCATGCTTTCAAATGACACATCTCAAATGACACATCTCATTTTGTTCGTCTCGCCATGGGCTTTAAAAAATTAATTTAAAATTCATCATTAATTGAGTTAAAAACTCTTTTGTATTAGGGTTTTCAATTGAGGAGGCAAACTGTCAGTTTCGATTACATTGAGAGGCAAATTGTAAAAAAAAAAAAGTTTATATGGCAAAGTAAAAAAAGGGCATACTTTCGGAGGTTAAATTTTTTTTTCCTTTTTTATTCCAGCTAGCTTATCAGCTAATTTTACCAAACACTTTCATCATATAAGCTAGTTTTTCAGCTATAAGTCATAAGTTTTAAGTTATAAGCTCAAAAATTACATATAAGCTATAAGCTGGTTTAACAGTTACCAGCTAACTTTTCAGCTAGTTTTACAAAACATAGTCTAACACTATTTTTTCTCTTGGTACGTTTTATGTGGAAAATAAAAGTTAGTGCTTTGTGACTTCAAATTGTTATGAGGAATTCCCTAAGAT